ATTATAATCTAACACTATTTTTATTATAATAAAAACTAGTTAAAAAGACTTAGTAAAATATTGTTAAAAAAGAAATACTTAAAAAACCAAACTATTTAGACCTTTTAGAAAACTCAACAGAACAATCAATACATGTTTTAAGTATAATAATAAAAGTGATAAAGAAAAAAAACAAAGAATTGTAAATATTTTTGCAAGATATAAAAAAGATTTTTAATTTTATCTCATTTAAAAGTCTTAAATAAGCCTAGCAAAAAGTTAAAATATCTAAGAAGTCAATCAAATATATTTTAAACATTTTTTATAAAAAATAGTTAAAATAATCATAGCCTATAGTCTAACAAAAAAATAATAACAAAAAATAAAATAGATCAAGATAAAATAATATTATTACTAATATGGTGTCTCTTTTATGACCTACTATTGAAAAAAATACAGAAAGACAAAAGGTTAGGCTATACAGTAAAACAAAAAACCAAAGAAAGAATATATTGCAATAATATTACAAACTATTATCAAGCAGCAATTGCATATATAATAATATAATATAAATCATAAACAACAAAGAACAGTTATTAGAAATATTAAAAATAACAGAAGAGTTCTTTAAAATGAATGATATAAAGATAAACAGATTCAAGTCAAAACTGATAATAATAAATAGAAAAATCAAAAAACAGTAAGATAATATTTAGAGAAAGTAAAATAATAGAAAAATCAAAAAACAAAATAGTCTGTTTTTTGAAAATCTGATTAAACAACAAAATGCAAGAAGTTTTAGTAAAGAAAAAAGCAAAAGAAATAATAAGCCAAACAATAAGAGACCTTAAGTATAAAAAAATAACAATAAGCCAGATAGCATACATAAACAATATAATAATAATACTAAAGTTAAGCTATATATTACAATTAACCAAAATGTCAGAGAAAGAATAAACAAAATATACCAACTATTAATATATTTGGTAAAACAAAAAAGCAACTTATTAAAAACATTAGAGAATTGTATAATAGAATATAAGGATCTTGAAAGAATAGCAATCCTAGTATAATGGTTAGTTGTTATTCTTCAAATAGTAGATTTAGAGTTCAAATTCTACTGGCAGTAGAATTTTGAAAAATAAACCTATTTCAGCAACTTGAACAAAATATTTAATAGTTAATTATAATAACTAATCATATAAAAAATGACTTGTTATATCTAAACTATAATATAAAATCAAAATAACATATAATACTATCACTAGTAATCAGTAATTTTTTGCCAAGTAATAATTTATTTTATTTTATATTTGACATTTATTTATTCAATCAAACTATTTTTTTTTTTTTTTTTTTTTGCTCTTAAGCAGCCATGCTAGTACTTTATTAAGATTTTTGCAACTATATATAATAACTACATAGAATTTTCCTAATAACTAAGTCCAGCATCACTCGGCCATCTTATTGGTACCTAAGTGCAACCTGCTGCACTACTTTAGTCAAAGGTAGACTGCTTATCTGGCTACTTAAGCTGTACCAGAAAGGATTCCTTTTTTTTGGGACAAGCATTAACTGTCTTTAATTCTTTCTTTAAATTCTTCCTTCTTCTCAAAGGGCTGAAAAAAGAGGAGTATTATAAAATTGAATACAAATATGAAAATGACTAAAAAAACCAAAAGTAAACAAACAAAACCCAAATCAAAACAAAACAACAAAACAAACATATAATAGTAAGAAAAAGAAAAAACAAAAAGAGGGCTGAAGCCTTAGCCAGAGCAAATTGTAAAAATTATATAGTACTGCTACTCCTAGTCTTTATTTTAGAAATAGGTCTATACTATATATAAATATCATTTAATAATAGAGATGTCGGTGTTTAATTTCTTCCTTACCAGTTCTACAGCCGACCTTTTTACTCTGATTAGAGTTACTCCTAGTTTCAGTAAAGAAATGATTCCCCTATTCCCAAAATGAATAATTTCTATAGATCTTTCATAGAGGGTATGCTAAATTTCTACTTTTTGTAAAAACTTCTGTCAAAAAACCAAGCAAGAAATATAGTAGTGGTGTTCAGTTAGCAGGTATCCTTGAATTTCTAGTAAATGTGTTGAAAACTTGCTTATTGTTCTCTTATAAGGTCTACTATTTTAACTTCATTAACAGAAGCTAAAACTTCTACTAAAATTTGTTATACAAAGGTGCCTTCTGTCTAATGATGCTACTTGAAACTATATTAGGTTACTAACTGAAACTGAAACTAGTTTTGGGTATCCGAAACTAATTTCAAAACTCCAAAACTTGTTAAAATTCCGAAACTATATTGAAATCTAAGCCTATATCGAAATTTCAAAACTATTTAAAATCTTAAATCTATAGTAAATTCCCGAAACTATATCAAAACTCCAAAACTATACACATATTCACTTATAGCTGTTTAAATGACTATAATATTTTATAATATCTACATCATAAATTAAATATATTTTTGAATTCATTCAATTAAATGTGTTGATATCTAAAATGCTTATATTTATAGAGCTGTGCATATACTATGTATGTGTATTATTGGACACTAAAGTTATTTAACTAATTCTTATAAAGTGTAAGTACTACATAATTATCCTCTTTATAATCATCATTTTGCTTACAACAAATAGTGTGATAGCAACAATATACTTAAATATTTATAAAATATATTACATATTTGTGTAAATAGGGGTAAATATTTAATGTATCTATATGATTCACTAACAGCAAGGACATGGAAAAAGTGCAATTTTATTTATAGAAATTTCAAATATTTTAAATAAAATTGCATTTTTCCATGTTTCTAACTAACAAAGCTTAAATTACATTACTATTTTACCAGCTATTTATTGTATTAATTCTTATTGTTTAAGATCCAGAAATTAAATATTTAACTATTAATTCTGATTTAGGAACTTATTATGCTCTTTTTGAAACTCAAGCAAAGTATGGTTTCACTTCTTATCTAAAACCAATTCAACTATAGCTAATTATTGATGTAGCCAAGGAGACCACACCAAAGCCAAAATCAATAAGGAAAAATTAGCCCAGTATTTTATTTCACATTTAATTATATATAATTATAGCAAATTAAATTATTATAATACTTTAAATGCCAGCAATTATTATATGTATTAGTTTAGATCCTGCTGATAGTACCTTATTTTGACAGTTAGTTCACAGATAAGTTTATTTTATAAAATTAAACCTATCTGAATTAATTATCTATAAAATAGACCTTTCTGTAATTTAACTATTTGTGAATAAGATGTCTATGGATTATAACAACTTATAGAATTTCATTTCACTAATGAAATAATTATAGCTTTAGATTGTTTTTGAAACAAGCAAAATGAGCTAATAATTTGATGCTGGCATGGAGTGGTTTATACTCCTAAATTACTCTAAAATATAATACTAATTAATATGATAAAAAGAAATTAATAACTTACTTAAGTTTTCAAGTAATAAATTAGAATAAATAGCTTATCTTAATAATTATTAACTAACTTAAGGGAAGTTGTTTGCAAAGTAATTGACAAAATAGTAAGGTATATATGTATTTGCTAAGAACTGGGTTGATAATGAATTATTAATTATTAAAATAGACGAATTAGTATCACAGAGTCACCTAAAATACTATATTTGTTGACTTCTACTATCAGTATTTAATTCACTTGGCTATTATACTATTTATTAAGAATAAAAGTTAGAGATATCAGAAACCAAAATTAGGCACTTCCCCTATTTGGATGCCTTATATTATTACTATCGCTAATAATTACTACATTGTTTATATAATACTAATTGCTAATGATTATTACATTATTAATGCAAACACTCTTTTAGACTTTTAATTAAATTGTGATCATGCTATTCATGCAAATTCTGATTCGATTATATGGTATCGTGCAGTACTACGACAATTAGCTTTAGTAATTTAGTATAGTTTGGCCCTTTATGCTAACAACAGCCACATTGGTTACTTAGTTCATTAGAAATAGTTCAGTTTATCCTGGTAATAAGTGAGTAATCTTATGTCAATATATATATAATATATACAATGCATATATGCAATTACTTATATGCTTCTATATAGTGATTTGTAAACATATTCTTTACCTTATTTATTTAATTGTGATTTTATAAAGGAATAATATATAATTTATTTATTTTTAAATTGCGTATTTAATATATATATATATATAATATATGTCATGACTTTACATATATATTATTCAAGATCTTGAACTAATTCTTCTAAATTAAATTCATGATCTTCATTCATAGCGATATCAGAATTGACATTGTCTTTATTAGAGACATACAAATCCTCTACTTGATTAAATGCTTGATAATGCAAATCTACAATGTTATTAATAATAAGAACTACTACTTAATGATTAGAAATCTCTAAATCATCATCTGATTCTTCATTATTTCATCCTTGGCATCAAACAGATAAGACCTTTGAATCAATGCTACTAATTCATCTTCAGTTTTGTTTTTCACATTATATGATAGCTCTTTACACATATTAAGTAAATTATAATGTTGGATTTTAGTAAGTGATTCTAAATTTTTTAACTCTAATCATTGTTTTTTTTTTACCATAGAACCAATTTAAATAGAAAAAATGTGTTCACATAATGTGCTATGTGGAGTTATTGCAAAAATTTTTTTGGCCAAAATTTTAAGATTATCGAACTTATCTTCAATAAAGCTCTATCATATAAAAGATATCATCACTTGGCTATCATATCCAACATTGTATGGAAATTCTTTTTCCTTAAATTTAATAATTTGAGCAATAAGAGTTTGTGCAAATAATTTATCTTTGTATCCCATTGATTGCTATAATTGTGCAGCATAAAGGATAATTTGTGTTACATTCTCTTTCTTAAATCAGCACCTATAAAAAAAAAATTCAATTATTAAACATACAAATATAAATATACTAAAAATATTAAAGAATAATATATATATATACTTCAATATTCAGGATGCAGCATATATGCTAAAATATATAGTTCTGCTTCAAGTTCATTCCAATGATTGTTAACAATTTCTATGCATTGATTTTGAAATGCAATCATATCTCTTTCTTTTGGTATATAAGAAATAGTTACAATTAAACAAACTAATTGAATAAAACAGTCTGCCATTATACAATTTACTCTTTCTAATCGCAAAATTGTAGCTCTAATTGAAGCAAAAATTTTGGATATTTGTTCTACATCATGAAAGAATCCTCAAGACTTTAAAATTATTCATATATCTTAGTTGGCAATAGCATGAGGATGATCGTTTAAAACCTTAAAATTATTCAAAATATTAGTGTTAGCACTATAGTATATTATATAAGAATGTGTGCCACAAAACAAAAAAAATTTACACTTTGCAATATTCGTAAAATCAATTATGCTAATTAATAAATTAAAAATTATCTTTTCTAATACAAGTTTAAGTCTAAACACAAAATTAATCATTTCATATAAAGATATCTATCTAGTTTCTATAAAAAGCTTCAATCCACCTCCGCTAATATTCAATTCATCTATTGTAATATTATAGATATTTTTAAACATTATTTTATATTATTTTATTGATATTATATTAGTTTTATATTATAT